TCAAATGAAACAAGTTAGGGATCAATTGCTACACACATGTGGAATGCCTACTCAAGACGGCATACATGACTCCGTGAATTTATTTTGTATGTTGTTCAGAATCTGTTTATTTTGTCATGTCATGTAAACTTCTAATCGTATCGATTGAACTGTTTTATCAAATGTAATTTAGATTGTGTTTTTTATATCTGAAAAAAACATTTGACATTTCACAAATTTCAAAATTTATATGTTATTTAATACTATATTAACATTAAACCATTAAAAATTATTAAATAATCTGATTTTTTTGAATAAAATATTATTAAAAAAATTCTCAAAATTTCAAAGTAAACGAATTTTCCATTTTTATGCTTTCATAAACAGTTTTTCAAAATGATAAAAAGAACGCATTTTCAGAAATTTCAAAACACACTCAAAACTGAAACACGAAGAGAAACGCCCCTTAGTGTTTCCATGGGTTTTATACTTCCAAGTAACTATTTTTTCTCTTATGTTTCAAGTAATCTTGGACTTTGGTTGAGATATCTTTTTGATCGTAGTCATCTTTTTAATTAGCATCCAAAGCTTGCAAGCACGGGAGATAATACATTATGGGAATGTTATGCCAACATCTGAATAGGGAAGTTGACGATGTTTCTCCATCCAAACTGAAACAAAGACATGGTCGACCTCTCCCCAATTACGCTTGACTCCAGTAGTATATAAAAGCAGAGAAGGGTGTTTTGCTAATGCAGTTCTATCCTCAATGAACTTTGAGAAAATGCCTCTAACCTTGCTATCGAATTTAGTGTTGGTAGAAGTGGCGCTAATCTTCGTCCCATTGCTGATCTTGAACATCATTCTGAAGAAGTAAAACATGATATCCATGTGCTGTATAGAATGAAAAACAAAATTCATCATTTTGGAGGTAAAATGGTTGGGGGAATTATTAGATAAAACGAAATTTTTTAGCCTGTCGTTAAGCTGGATCGCAACTTGATGAAGACTATACCACCACATTTTGGATTTAATGTAAATGGATCCTCGTTCCATTGCAGGTGATATGGATAAATTGTCCACATGGAATTTCCTATTCCTGCTAAAA